TTTTTTTTTTTTTTTTTGACAGTACTGCAGATTGAACCCAGGTCCTTGGCACATCCCCAACCCCCCAACACACCCCTTTTTAAAACTTTAGGACATGGTCTCCCTAAGTTGCTCAGGTTGGGCTCCAACATGCAGTCCTCCTGCCATCAGCCTCCCAGAGTGCTGGGATTACACAAGCAAACCATCACACCCATTGCTTGTTTTTTCATACATTTCCTATCTGCTCATTTTTTTCTTACACTTTTTTTCTTTTTTTCTTTTCTTCAGCTCTTCTTTATTCTCTTGCCCTCACATTTTCAGTGACATACACTAGTGGGTGCTTAGGGGCAGTGACTGGCCCAGCAGATCCTGTAGTGCCTTCCCTGTTGAGTGGCCTATAAGGTCAGAGACCCAAGGCTCCTGGTCAGCTGCCCAGTGCTGTGAATTCAGATTTGGCTGTTGTCCCTCTGCCTTTCTGGACTGACTCACCAGCCATTCCTCTCACCCCTGGACAAAACAGCTGTCTGCTGAGTGACACCCGTCATTGTCCCAGCAGCTCCCCACCCCATGGTGACCACGTGCTATCTCTTCCCTCCTGCCTGTCTTTGTTACCAGGAGCTGACTGCAGACAGCCAGACGACGCCATGTTTGACATCATCACGGACGAGGAGTTGTGCCAGATCCAGGAGTCCAGCTCCTCTTTGCCAGAGATGCCCACAGAAACCGATTCTCTGGACCCAAGCGTGGCCGAACAGTGAGTCAGTGCCCCACCTTGCCCACGTCCATCGTGTGCCTGGTCCCTGCGCTTTCCTATGAGAGGACCAGAAAACGTGACACAGGAATCTGAGTTGGCTGTCCAGATGGAGGGACAGTATCTGACACCACAGCCTGTCTCTCTGGGCTTGAGCAGTTGTATTGGTCAGCGCAGGCCACCACAGCAAGATACCACAGACTGTCAGCTTAAACCGCAGCAAGTATCTCCCTGCAGCTGTGCAGGCTGGAGGCCCCGGTCAAGGTGATGGCAGAGTCAGCTGCTTCTCTTGGAAATGGCCACACTCTTGTGCTGCACCTCATATAGTCACACCTGTGTGCACACCTGGCGTCGCCCTGCACCTCCTGGCCTCCTTTTTTCACAAAGACACTGGGGAGGTGGCATTAGGCCCACCCTAATGGCCTCATTTAACTCAAGCTTTGCATGAAAGGCATTATCTGTAAACACAGCCAGGGTCTCCAGAACAGGGACTTGTGAATTTGAAAGGAGGTGCAGTTCAGGCCTGACAGCGACCCCTGCTCTGCCACCCTTGGCCAAGTTGCTCTTTAGAAGCCTTGGTCCTGGGCCCTTGTCTTCCGGCCCCACCCAGCTCACCGTGGCCAGGTGCTGAGGTGAGGTGTGGTTCAGTGCTGCGGGGACAGAACCCTGGGCTGTGGCCTCGGTGAGCACAGTGCTGCTGACATGGGCAGGAGCCTGCGGGCTTCCAGGAAGGAGTGGGTGGGGCTGCCCCGGCTTGATGGCCGGGAGTTGTGGTCTTCTTCGGAAAGTGCTGGTCGGGCTTGGGGACGGCGCTGAGAGAAGGAAAGCTGGGACAGGTTGTGGCTGTCTCAGGCACGTGTGTGCTCTTGGCAGGGCCAGAGGCTGACTGTGTTCCTCTGGCCTCGTCCACCCACCGAGCAGGGCGAGCAGGTAGGAAGGACGCCGGCCTCAGGCTGCCCTAGCAGTGTGCTCCCTCTGCCCTCTCATTGTTCTGGCGTAGTGACTTTCTACCAAGGGTCCATCCTTAAAAACATGAAACTGCAGAGTGCCACCGCGTCACGCGTTGAGGGGGCACCCAGGCAGAGGTCTGCAGTTTGTGCAGCAGAGCACACTGGTGGGCCCCGGAGAGAACCACTGCGGCCCGGCCCAGGGCAGACCCCAGGCCTGGAGGCGATGGAGGGGCCGGGAGCTCTGACCACCCCCTGCTGCCGCAGAACGGTACTAGTGTGTGGCCGGGGCTGGGGCCTGGCCTGAGCAGCTCCCAGTGACCCACGCGTGTGTGCCCAGCCCGAATGGTGGCCTGAGGCAGAGCACAGCCACTTGCCTGCATCCCTCCATGTTGTCCCCACAGAGGGCCGTGGACACGTCCCGGCTCTCTGGCCCCTTGGACAGGGACCCCCTCGCCTCCACAGCAGGGTCAGCTGGGGTCAGGCTCTTGTCAGTGGCTGCATCAGGAAGGGGGCCTGGCCTCCCCTCCTGGCCGCAGAGTCGCACAGTGGCAGCCCTGGCAGTGCGAGGCTGGAGCACCCGCCCCCTGGTGCTGGGAGGGGATGGGGCCTTGTGTGGCTGCTGCTTCCTCCATGGTCGTGCTGGGCCACCTCGTCGGGGACCCAGCCAGCCTGCCCACCGCGCGCGCCTCGCTAGCCCGTGACCGCAACCCCATCGCCCTGTCCAGTTCCTGGACGGTGTCCATTGAGGCCCACAGAGCCTCCTCGGCAGCAAGTGCTCAGGGCTAGTGCCCATGGGCAGGTGCTGGAGGAGCTGTGGGTGGGAGACTCTGAAACAGAGGAAGAACAGGCCGTGCAGGCATGGCCGAGGCTCAGAAAGCTCCTGGTGCTTGCGTTCGGCAGCCTCTGCCATCCGCCGAGCGCTGAGGCAGGCACTCTGCAGTCTGCCAGCTGCAGCAGCGAGCCGGCGGTGGAGGCTGTGGAGGGGAGGAGGCTGCACCCTGCTGCAGGAGCCCGGCAGGACACTGACCCCCGAGAAGAGTCCACAGGGAGGTCCTGCTGCAGAGCTGGGCTGGGGAAGGGGCCTGGGAAGGGCTCGCTCCACCAGGGACAACACCTCTGGCTCCACAGGCAGCAGGGTGGGTGTGGCCCGGTGTCCGGACAGTGCCCTGCGAGGGGCCCCGGGTGCACTGTGGCTGAGCCCTGAGTGCCCCCGCCGTTGCTCCCCCGGGCACCTGTGCCTGTGTCACCAGCCTCTGAGCTGGGGCATGGTCTGGGAAGCGGGGGATGATGGCCACTCTGCCACGAGTGTCCCGTGTCAAGAGGGACGTGCGGGTGGAGGTGGTCCGAGCGTGAGTGCCAGCCCGTTGTCGTGGGAGGTGTGCGACGGCCTGCGTGGCCCAGGCCGGGAAGCTGTCCTCGCAGGTCCCATAGGACGTTTCTGAAACAGTGCTTGAGGTCGTGTGGCCCTTCAGGGACTGGCCATGCCCAGCTGGCCCAGCGCAGGTGCCAACCTGCCCGTCCCTTAGGGCCCATGTGGAGGCTCCCACCTGGCGCCACTCCCTGGTCCCCACAATAAGTGAGAGCTGCTGCTGGGCTGCTTTGGAGCCCTCTGCCCCGCAGTGCAAGTTGTGCCAGGTGCTGTGCCCAGGTGTTAAGTGCTCCCAACAGCTGCCCTGCGGGTAGGTGCTGATATTTCCCCAGAAGGAGAGGAGGCAGGTGGCCGAGGCCTGTGGTCTGTGCAGTCCTCCCACCGACCAGCTGGCCGGCCCCCCTGTGCGTTCTCCCTGGCCGTTGTCTCCTGCCCGTGACTCGGGGAGTGAGCTGGGACACCACAAGCCCTGCCAGCATCCTCACGCCAACCGGGTGACTGGCACGGGTGAAAGTCTGACGTTCAAAACTGCACCGACCGTGACATGTGACGAGGTCAGGCAAGCGCACGCGTGTTGTGGGCGGGAGGTGCAGACCACAGGGAAGGAACCCGGCTGCGACACTGGACACGGGTGCCTCCCACTCACTGCCCCACAGCACACCGCTGTGACTCATTCTCACGAACGCAGACATAGCCACTTCTCACACCTTCCATCTTAAAATACATCGCACCTAAGGGTAAAAGCAGTTTGGAGACTTAAAAAAGAAGACAGATTTATTTCTTAGCCATGAAGTTCGTGTGCTGTTCAAGGTGTGAATGTGAGAGCGTGCGCGCGCGTGTGCTCTGATACACGTCCTGCGGGGCAGGTGTTGGGTGACCCCATCTTTACATGAGCAAAGCGCCAAAGGCTCCGCCCCAGAAATGCGGGGTCCACTTGCTGCAGTCCTCAGCTGTGTTTTGGGTGTCTGCCACTGGGGCTCTCAGCCAGTAGGAGGATTTGGGTCCATTCACTATCGCGGTGCTGCTCCTCACAGCCATAGCGTCCGCCGGGAGCCTGAGCGCGCCCTGGGAGGCCCCGGGGGTTGCAGTCTGAGCGTCCTGAGCAGCACTCCCATCCTGTCGGGGTCACAGAGGAGCTGTCTGACGCCATGTACACGGTGCTCCGAAGAGCCCTGCAGAGCAGAGCGTTTCCCGGAGGCCGCAGATTACTGCAGCGCCCCCTGGAGTCCACATCGGGAAGCCGAAGGGTCTGTGCTGCGAGCCTGGAGTCGCCGCCCAAAGGTGACCTGGGCGAAGATGAGCTCCTCTGAGGAAGTGGAAGCTGGACGCTCTCCCTTCCCTCTTTATTCCATCTGGCCAGAAACCTGGGTCGGGGCCACCCACACCACCGGGGCAGACCTTCCCCCTTCCACGAGTCCGTCATCCAGGCACGCCCAGAGCATTCGAGGTGACCACGGGCAGCCAGCACACCTGTCAGGTCTGCCTGACGTCCACCTCAGCCCGAGAGTCAAAGGAGCCTTCTGTCCTCGGGGTCCAGTCCGGCCCCCGCCATCCACAGCTCTGTGAGCCCTTGGCCCCAGGCCAGTCGGGGGGCCCGAGGCTCAAGTGCCACGGGGCATCCCCTTGGTTTAAGGAAAACCCTTAAAAAGTGTAGCTCTCCCCCCACCCCCGCTCGAGCGTTAGGTTTGGGTATGAAGGAGACAGCAGGAAGCATGGTGGCACACATCTGTAATCCCAGCATTCTGAGCGGTCGAGGCAGGAGGGTTGCAGGTTCAACTCCAGCTTGGGCAGCTTAGCAACTTCACAAGACCCTACCTCAAAAGAAGCAGACCCTAGGTTTGATGCCTCTTGTCTGCGGGGGTCCACACCAGCCAGTGTTCCACTTCTCCAAGGGAATGCAAGGGCTGTACACAAAGCCTTTCCCGCCGTCTCCTCCAGGAGGCGCAGCCATGCACCCCTGACTCTCACGGCAGGCCCTCCGCGCCGTGGCCTACAGCTGGACCATGCAGGTGGCCTCTGGGTTGTGGGAAGCAGAGCAGCTCTTGGAGTTGTCCTCAGATTTCCACTGACTCAAGAATCCGACACAGCCCGCATCCTTCACGAGTTTCCAGAAGTTATTCCTAAACTTGACACCAACGAAGGCGTAGAGCACAGGGTTAAGACAGAGGCGCAGGTAGGAGATGGCCTCGGTCACAACGATGGCGTAGTCAAAGCTGGTCATGGTGTAGTACTCCCAGTTGGAGCTGCGGATGAGCTTGACGAGGTTGAAGGGCGTCTGGGTCAGCAGGAACACAGCCACCACCAGGATGATGATCTTCAGAGACTTGTGCTTCCGGAAGCCTCGGGACAGCAGAATGGTCCGGATGATGACGGGGTAGCACAGCACCATGGTGAGCAGGGGCAGGAAGAAGCCCAGAGTGGTCTGGGTGACCAGGACCGCCCTGGAAATCTCATTTTCCTGGTAGTCGCAGATGAGCCTGTCGTGGGAGTGGACCTCGCTGTAGACGATCTGCGGCAGGGCCAGCAGCAGGGAGACCACCCAGGTGCCGCCCAGGATGCCCTTGCTGCAGGCCGTGCGCACGGCCCGATGGTTGTAGGCCTTGGTGGCCTGGACCACGGTGATGAACCGGTCCACAGTGATGCAGGTGAGTGTGAGCATGGACACGTGGAAGTTGGCGGTGTAGACGCCCTGCAGGATCTTGCACAGAGCCCGGCCGAAGACCCACTGGTGGAAGCCTGCGTAGGCCCAGAAGGGCAGCGTGCAGACAAACACCAGGTCAGCCAGGGGCAGGTTCACCAGGAACACGTCCGTCACACTGCGCAGCCTCTGGTAGCCGACGTAGATGAGCAGCACCAGCGCGTTCCCCAGCAGCCCAAGGACGAACACCACTGCGTACACGCAGGGCATGAAGACCTCGCGGAACCGCAGGAAGCCCTCGTGCACCTCGCTGCTCTCATCGTCGGAGCTGTTGAGGGGGAAGTAGTAGTCGGGGTATTCCATGGCGCCCAGCCGAAAGCGCACCTGTGGGTGAAGGCCTAGAATTACATAGGGCCGAGAAGCGCTCGCTGACCCCACTGCCCCGGCCAACACCTACGTTTCAGGGGGACGATGGTGCCCTGAACCCATCACGGTCGGGCTCGGGGGACACAGCTCAGGCAGGACACGGCCCTGAGATCCATTATTAGCCCAAATTCCTGGGGTCTCGCCCCGCTCACCCCACACACGCATCCCATGAAACTCCATGCATGGTCACTCCGGAAGCAGAGCCTCCTGGCAGTGCCCACCCACCCTCTGCCCCTGTTGCTCTTTGGGTCCAGAAGTTGCAGCCCACAGGGCTGTCCTGCCGAGGAGACAGTTGACCATGCATGCTGGGGGCCAGGGACTTCTCTGTTGGGTGGACAGTCCTCCCCTCCTTCCCCTCCGCTGCACTGGGCCCCGGCTGAGCTGGCACGTGAAGCGTGAGGCCGCTCAGGGACGCTTCCTGCTCTGGGATGTGTCTGCCCTGACCCTGGGCCATGCACGCAGCAGGGCGGGCTTTGCCCCGGCAGTACGTTCAGTAAATCCTCCTGCACCTGGACCCCAGAGGTCAGCTCCAAGGGACAGGCTGGCCAGAGGCCCACAGACTTGCTGTGACCTTCCGTATGGTGGTCATGTGGTGGCAGGACATGGGAGTTGCTTCACACAGGGACAGAAACAAATTTTCCCATCATTTAATGTAGGAACCAGGGCTGGGATGTCACTCAGCAGCATCGCACCCGCCCGACAAGTACAAGGTCCTGAGTTCAATTCCCAGTACTGGGGAAAAAAAATCTTAAATGAATAATGAAGGAAGGACCAGCCAGCTGCTTTTCTGAAGGCCTGCACAGCAAGTGGTACTCGTGGGTGTCACGCTGGTGGGTGGGCACACGGCATTCAGAACCACTACCCCTTACAGAAAACAAGTTAGAAAGCTCATTTCTTTATCTTTTCTAATCAAAACCCTGTGTGGGTTTCTGAATGTTTTAAAATAGCAATATATATAACTTTGGAAACAATGTAAAAGTCTGATAATAAGTAAACAATAGCTCTAATTCAGACATAAAACAATATGACCAAAATGTTTAGGACATACTTTAGTTGTTTTGGGAAATGCAGTACATTTACCTTGCTCAGAAGAGTGTAAACACAAGGCAGATACACTAAGTGTTAACCACAGATGGGTGGTAAACATTATTCGTAGCTGCTTGTCGTACCCGCTCACCCCTTGTACTGGGGATTGAACCCAGGGCTTTCGCGCAGAGCTGCACCTCAGCCTTTTTGTTTGTTTGTTTGTTTGGTACCGCGGATCGTACTTGGGTCTTTTGCTTTTGAGGCAGGCACTGGAACCAGTGAGCTAAATCCCCAGCCCCAGCCTTTTTCTATTTTTTTATTTCAAGACATTCTCACCAAGTCTCTTAAGTTGCCCACGCTGGACTCAGACTTGCATTCCTCCTGCCTCAGCCTCCCAGAGTGCTGGGGTTACAGGCATGCACCACAATGCCTGGCTTAACTGTTTTTCATCATTAACCCCTCTGAGAATCTTGGAAATTTGCAATCATTTCCTCAGAAATAATGTGCACTAGTAATTCTAGGGGCTCATGAACCCCATCTCCTATAGATCCTTAAGAACCTATGATAAACTTTATAATTGTAAATATATTTCTAGGTCATAGCAAAATGACCACACTTCACCAGCATCTGGCCTCAGGCTGGTGGGCTTTGGAGAGATTATTTCCTCTTCACCTTTTTTTTCTGTAGTTTCTACAGTAGCATATTGATTCATACTGAAGGAAAAAAAAAAAGAATAAACAGTTGTAGTTTGCTCTACAAAACACAAAAGAAAGGAAACCAGATCATTCCACGCCAAACCTGGACAGAGGCAGGCCACCCTTCCGTGGGGGCTCCGATGAGTCCTGCAGGCACCCCGAGCTCCAGCCACGCCGGGCTTGGTCCTCCCCGTCCTGTCTTCACCAGAACACAGAGACAGCAACTCACCTCAAGGCAGGCAGAGGCTCTGGAGCTGGGGCCCTGGAGGCAGCAGGCTCAGGATGACGGCTGCTCTGTGATGTGGTCTGTGCTTCCGCCACCAGCCCAGGACCTAGGAGCCTCACTGCTGAGTGGATCCACCCCTTCCCGCCCCAAAGGTCACAGCCCTCCAGCGAGCCGGCTGCGCCTGTGTCACTGGGTTTGGGAGCCCGACCCTGGGTGCTTTCTCCGTCAGTACCCGAAAGGGCTTTATTTCTAAACTGGAGGGAAGCAGCGAGCCGCTTCGGCTCTGACCATCCTGGCCCCTTGGGAAGCTGCTGTCTGTTCCTTCAGATGATTTCCTTCGCTTGTCACACATCTCTGCAGAGCATTCTGGGTCTGGCTGGGCTCTGTGGCTCTGTGCGCGTGTGGCCCCCACACACAAGACAGCTGACACCGTCACCGTCACCGTCGGGCCTCCCCACACCCCTGTTTCACCGGTGAGAGCCCTGAATCAGCCTCCTGTGCACACCGATGCCAGACCAGGATCCAGGTGGCTGTGGGTGGCAGCTCTGCCCCCCAACCCCGCGTTACTCAGGCCCACCCGCCATGCCCACCCTGGGCCCCAGAAGCTGGGCACGTGAGCACACCCCCTTGAGCTGGTGGTTTCCTGGGTCCCCGGGGCGGCCCTCTGGTTGGTCCCACCTGCTGATCAGGAACAGGAGAAGAATCCCCAGGGTCACATTCCCCACCCTTCCTGGGAGACAGGACATTTCGAAACGCTCCTCCTCCCAGCTGACCCTCTGACCCGTTCGGCCTGCTTCTCTAGGGCCCTGAAAATCAGCGCTGTCCTCCCTCAGGCCAGGCCGTGCTGTGTGCGTCACTGGTCAGCTGTCCCTGGTCACTTCCAGGTGAGCAAGCACAAGAGTTGGAGATGCGCCTCACACGCACACACACACGCGCACACACACAGAGAGAGCGCACAGGTCCCCGCGTCACGCTGCAGACCCCGTGCTTGGTCGGTTCTGAGTGTGGCGCCACCCAGGGCCCAGGCAAAAGATCTGCACATCTCTGGTGGGCTTGCAGGCCTTTTAAACTGAAGCCACTCCTGCTGCCCTTCCCACATTGGACAGACCAGTGAGGCCCATGGGTGCAGGCCGTGAGGACAGCCTGAGCCAGATCGGGAAGGCGAGACCTTGGAGGGCAGGCCAGCCCCGGGGTCCCAGAGCCTCTTGGAGCCAGTGAACCGGCTGCACCCCGTCACACCTGCTCTCGGCAGTGACTTGGGCTCCGTGTGCCCCCGTGGCAGACAGAAGGGTACCGGGTACTTGAGGGAGCAGCACTTCTGCTGTGGCCACGATACCGCCTAGAAAGTCTTGTGCGGGGCGAGGACTTGCCGCTGAGTTCAGGGAGCCAAGCTACTCCATTTCGGGCTAAAGATGTTTAATTTTATTTTATCCCCCCACACACACACACACTCCCTTAAGCCCCTCCCCTTCCTGTGTACAAAAGCTTTGTTTCCATGTTTTCTATTTCCACTTTTTCCTTGTCCTTTCCCTCCTCTCTCCCTCCCTCCTCCCTTGTTCCCTTCCCATTTGAACATTTTCTTCCAATTTCCCAGTATCTGTTTTACTTTTTGGTCTTTATCTCCACTTCGGTTTCTCACACCACAGGATGCAGTATTTAAATGTGTGTCCAATTTATCTACCTAAAGAGTAAGGTCTCGCCGGGCATGGTGGCACACACCTGTAATCCTAGCACTCGGGAGGATGAGGCAGGAGGATCACTGAGTTGGAGACCAGCCTGGGCTACAGAGTGAGTTCCAGGTCAGTCTCAACCACATAGTGAGACCCTGTCTGTAAAAGACCAAAAAAAAAAAAGTAAGGTCTCAAGGTCCAGCCATTTAGCTCTAAATGTCTGAAGCTCACCCTTCCTTGTGACAGAGTAGCACTCCACTGTATAAAGAAACACATCTTCCTTATCCGTTCATTGATCAGTGGGCAGTTGGGCTGTTCCCAGGATTAAGCTGTTAAAGCTGTGCTGCTATAAGCATGGGTGCATGTATATCACTGTGGTGTGATGTTTTTAGCTCTTTCGGGAAAACACCAAGTAGGGGAATAGCTGGGCCAAGTGGAACCCCCAGTTTTAGTTTTTGAGGACGCTGCACAGCTTTCTGCAGTGGTTGCCCCAGTCCATAGGGCCAAAATTTTATTTCCACCAGTTTACACAGCGCCGCCTGCCTGCGTATCGTCCTTTGTTCAAGGGTGGCACTTTGAATGGAGCTCTAACGCGTGCAGGGGCGAGTGCCCCGCCATCCGTGTATTGGGTTTCCCCAGAAATGCTCAGACATCTTCCCAACGTAATGCGGGACGTGGCAGTTGCAGCTGCAGATTTAGTGATGATCAAACTGTTCCCACTCGCCTTCCCCAGGTCCCCGGCGTTCATCCCCAGGCCAGCGCTGTTGGGACATCTCTTCCGGGATGCAGGGATGAAGTGTTTACTGCTGTCGGGGAAGGAGGGTCTCGCACACAGCCTGGAGAATGACAGGCTGTGGAGGTGACTTAATGGCTAGTGGTCCGCAAAGAGGTGGCCCAGCCCGACACCTGCTGTGGCAGTTCAGTGGCGCCCTCTGGTGGTCATGAGGATGGGCTGTGGGTTTGCTGTTGGTCCCACTGTACCTCCCACGGCTTCCTGAGTCAGAGGACTCAAGAGTGTCCTTTATTTGGTTTTTAGGCAGAAAGGAAGCCAGTGACTGAAAGGAAAAACTACTGGGAATTTGCTAGCAGTTTTGATTTCCTCCCGATGAGTATGAGGTCATGGCTGCTGTGCTAGATGATGGTGAAACAGGGCAGCAAGTGACCCGAATAAGCAAAATAATCCACACAAGGGAACTACGATAACTCCCTACCTGCTCGATGGCCAAAACGTGAGCTCATGTTCTCTAAAAATCAAAGAATGAATTCTAGGAACAATGGAGGTTAAGAGTAGGAAAAATTTATTGGCAGAAAGACAGCTTCTGTCTAAGACAGAAGGGGAAC